GATATTCTTAATAATCAGCGTATTTCTCAATTAACTTGAAATTTTTAGTCGAAGTACTTTATTGAACTATTCTCCTTCTGCGAAAGTGTCTTGCTTCTTCGCCTGCTTGGAAACTTTTATTTTTTTCCCAAAAACCTTGCAAGTGATTGCGTATTGCTCAACTGAGACAGATTCTCAATAATCAGTGTCTTCCTGCACTTACTTAGAATTTTGACTATAAATAAGTACTTTATTGCACTGTTGTCACTCTGTGAAAGTTTCAAGTTTCTTCTCTGGCTGGTTGGGGAGTATCATTTTTTTTCCAAAAACTTTGCAATAACAAGTTCGTCTCGTCTGATTTGTGTGTTTTTTCTTCTATAAGTCGGTGAAGGAACTACTTGAGTTTTAGGTTGTTTCGAAAAATTATAGAAACTCAAACCATTCGAATCCTGTTTCAAAATATTATAGAATCTGAAGCCGCTTTAAGGTTGTTTAAAAAAATGATAGACACTCAGCCCGCTCTAATGCTGTTTCACAAATCTCTAGAAACTCAAGCCACTGTAATGTTGTTTAACAATTTTATAGAAATTCAAACGACTTTTAGGCGTGTTGTTTGAAAAAATTATGAAAACTCAAGCCATTTTTATGCTGTTTCAAATTCGTGTTTAGACACTCAAACTGCTCTTATGTTCGTTGAAAAGATGATAGAAACTAAGGCCGTTCTTATGCTACTTCAAATATTTATAGAAACTGATACGGCTCTTAGATGGTTTGCTAGAAAAAAATAAAAAATCAAACCACTTCTATGCTGATTCAAAAACTTCAAACCGCACTTACGTTCTTTGAATAAATTGAAGAAACTCACGTCAATTTAAAGCTGTATCAAATTCGTGTCTAGAAACTCTAAACGCTTTTGTGTTCTTTGAAAACATTATAGAAACGCAAGAAACTCGCTGATACTGTTTCGAGCTACTCTAACGCTGTTTCACCAATTTACTGAATTTAAATCGGTTTTAAGTGTGCTGTTTGAAAAAATGATGGAAACTTATTCCACTTTTATGCTGTTGCGAATTCGTGCATAGAAGCTCAAAACGCACTTAGATTATTTGGAAAAACTCTAAAACCTGAAACCGTTTTCATGCTGTATCACATTTTGTGTCTAGAAACTCAAATGGCTCTTATATTCGTTGAAAAAATTATAGAAACTAACGTCACTCTTATTTTGCTTCAAAGATTTATAGAAACTCAAATGGCTCTTAAGTTCGTCTCGTCTGATTTATGTATTTTTTCTTCTATATGTCGCTGAAAGAAATACTTGAGTTTTATGTTGTTTCGAAAAATTATAGAAACCCAAACCATTCGTATTCTGTTTCAAAATATTATAGAATCTGAAGCCGCTGTAAGATTGTTTAAAAAATCATAGACACTCAGCCCATTCTAACGCTGTTTCACAAGTTTATAGAAACTCAAACGGGTTTTAGGTGTGTTGTTTGACAAAATTATAGAAACTCAAGCCACTTTTATGCTGATTCAAAAACTTATAGAAATTCAAACCGCACTTACATTGTTTTAATAAATTATAGAAACTCAAGTCATTTTAAAGCTGTATCAAATTCGTGTCTAGAAACTCTAAAGGCCTTTGTATTCTTGGAAAAACTTATAGAAAAGCAGAAACTCCTATACG